AGCCTCCTTTATTGTCATATTGGATTACAATAAGCATATTGAATTAAAATTTTATATAACATATAGAGTAGTTATCAATACCTCATTAGATCAAATAACTTTATTTTAAGAGGAACATGAAATGGTGTATACTAAAATATGGAACAAATAAGCAAACAAATAAATCGTATGATTTCTCCTTTAAACATAAAAAGTTAGATTCTAAAGCACAATGTTATAATTTCAAAATTAATCCATTCGATATTACGAGAAACAAACAAGATATAATAACACAAGTGGTTAACTAAAGGAGTGGAACTATTGCCAACTAATAGTCCAGAGTGAGAAGGTCTACCTTCTCACTACTCTTCTCAATCAAAAAAAAAAAATCAATGGTAAACCTTCCTCGAAGCCGCAACCAATCTCTTCAAATCCCCCCTAAACCACCAGATATCAATCATGTGCATGAAGGTAATAATCCTCCTACTCCAAATTCAATCAATACACTTCAACCGCATGAAGGTAATAATTCTCCTACTCCAAATTCAGTCATTAAAATTCACCCCTCCACTTCATCATTCAAAGAAGTCCTCCTTCTGGATTCTATCAAAAAGCACATCTCCCAACCCCCCCAAGATCCAGCTACAACTAATGACTCCTTCATGCAACTTGATTGCCCATTACAAGATTTACCCAACCTAAATATTTGCTCTCAAAAAATCCAAGGCATCAATGAAAACCTACAAATCCACTTATCAGTGGATGACCTCCAAAGGATATACCAACCTTGAAAATACTCACTTATAATTAAGCTAATGGGAAAACGAGTCCTCCATCAATACCTAAAAAGAAAGTTTTATCACTTATGGAAACCGTCTGAAAACTTTAACCTTATGGATCTTGGGGCGAACTACTTCATAGTTAAATTTACCAAGGAGGAAAATATGGCCAAAGTTCTAAGTAATGGGCGTTGGTTTATTAATGGTTTTCACCTTCTGGTTCAAAAATGGGAGCCTCACTTTGTAGCCAGTGAAGCCAAACAGCTTAATCTGCAGTATGGTTTCGTCTTCCTCAACTCCCTACTGAATTTTATGACCCTACGATACTACAAAGGATTGGCAATAAAATAGGTAAATTACTTAGAATTGATGCATGTACCTCCACTACCTTAAGAGGTCGATATGCTAGACTATGCGTGGAAGTCTCAATTGAATTGCCAGTCAAACTATTTGTATACATTGAAAATTATAAGCAACAGATCCACTATGAAGGTGAGAATTTCCTATGCAAAAACTGTGGCAGGCTAGGTCACAGCCAATCACAATGCTCGGTCACTCTACAAAATTCCAATTCCCAAAAGCAACAGGAAAATCAAGTCACTGCTATACAACAAGGAATCCAAAGTGATTGGGTGACTGTCACATTCAACAAGAAAAAGTATGCTGGCTCAAAGGCAATCCCAATAGCTAAGGTACTCAATCCAGGTAAAAGATCAAAGCTCACTGATCTGGACACAGGTATGTCTTTTAATTCCCAAAAGTTTAATTCTCAAAAGTTTAAATATATGGAAAAAAATTCACCTCCTTCGCCACCTCCTAACACAAAGGTCAGACATTCATCTGATAGCAACACCAATGCTAATTCATCTTCCTCAAATGTTGGTATTAAATCCACTAATCCTTTTGAGATGTTAGAAAGTGAGCCCATGATTTTCGAACCAAGCTCATCAACAAATCCACCAAAAATCTATAGCACCCAATGCATGCAAAGCACATTACACGTGGACAAGGCTAAGGAAGCATTGGTACCACCACCCCAATCATTTGATGAACCTTCCACAAAAAAACAAAAAATTAGAGTACCCGGCTACCCCTATTTTAGTGAAATTAACTAATTCTAAAATACATATTACCCCCAACCAAGCCCTCCCTCCCAATACGTTCAATTTACACATGGACTTGCATGCAAAGGAGGATTGCCAAATGGTTGAATCCTCAAAGCACCTGGCAACATCCAAATCCCCCCAAGATCTTATTTATTCCCACACTCCAAGTCATGAATCCCCTGGGCAGACTAAAGATTTTATAAAGATCATTAAACATACTCACCCTAATACTACCACTAATATATTAACTCAAACACAAGAAGAGGATGCCAAGGCTTCCACTACCAACAAGGAGAAGATTTTGCCTTTTCCACATTTCAAACCATCACAGGATAGCAACGATGGATAATCTGCCTCCTATGCCACCCCACTTCCCAAATCAACCTCTATTCTTCACATCACCTCCACAACCACAAAACTACCAACCAACCTCTTGGCTGGAAGCAGACGTTCTGGGCCATGTAATAACCTTCAATATTCAGATCAATGGCCAAGAGATAGTCATCATAATCCAAATCACTCGTTACCTAGCCCAGCTAATAGCGGAGGGTATGCACTTAGCAATGAACAACTACACGAATCAATCCTGGATCAACAATATCCTCCACCCACTAGCTCCCCATATGAACCACACACTGATCCAAGCCATGCAGGAGCAGTGGAATCTTCCACAGACTCCCAACCAATTCATCAACCTCCCAGTGAACCTGCCATTATTTTCATCGGAGGAGAGCATAAACATCAACCCTATCTTCATGCCTTGGAATCACCAAGCACATCAGGAACCAAACGCTCTCCCAAATATGGCCCCAGTAAACCTGGAGCCCAACCAAGTCAATATGCCAGGACCAAATGTGAATCCACCACAACCTCCAATAGAGGAAGAAGAAGAACCACTTCAACAAGGTACTCAACTGAGTGTGGAATTTTCAAGCCTAAATGAGGTAAAAAATACTTCTCTTCCCAGAATTATGAAGCAAGAAATACATATTCAGTTGCCCGAGCACCATATACAAATGCTCAATGCATATTCGCCCACCACAAGATCCCACAGTAGGAAAGCAAGCCATAATACTAGTTCCCTCAAGAAGGAGGAGCCACATTACAGTGGAGAGAGAGTCTAGTGTCAACCACCAACAAGCACCCCTGATGAATAGAGCCGCTACTATAATCTTTTGGAACGTTAGAGGTGCTAATAATGATGATTTTCGTCGTAACTTTAGGGATTTGATTGATACTCATAGGCCATGCATGGTGGCCCTCCTTGAAACTAGGATGATGGTGCATGCATCTCTCTAAAAAGAGTTCAATTTTTCTGAACTTATTGAAGTTCCTGCAAAAGGTCAAGCTGGAGGCATGGCCATTCTCTACAATCATAATGTCGTGACTGTTGGGCACTTCACAAAAAATGGCCAGGAAATTCATGCCCTTATACATGTACGACCCTTTAATTTTAAATGGCTATTTACTGCAATTTATGCTAGCACTAAAAGCCACTATCGTGATATTATGTGGGATAACCTAAAATCAATCTCAAATACCTACAAAGGTCCTTGGTTATTAGGGGGAGAACTTAATAATATTACTAGTAGTAACGAAAACGTAGGAGGCAAGCCCATGAATATGTCTAGAGCTTCTAAACTTTGGAAAAATATCGACTACTGTAATCTAATTGATCCAGGCTTCAACGGGAAGCAAATTCACATGGTCAAATCATAGGAAAAGGAAAGGGCTAATAATGGAGAGATTAGATCGTGTACTAGTAAACGCAGATTGGTTAAATAAATTTCCAAATATTTCTATCACCCATCTTTCAAAAACTCACTCAGACCACAAGCCTATTTTAGTAAAATTAAATAACTACCACCACCCTAATAACAAGGTTTTCCGTCTTGAAAATATCTGGTGTACCCATCCAAATTTTAGAAACATAATTGCTACCCAATGGAGAAATAAAGAACTGTTGGAAGCCAGTGAATCCTTCACTGGTTTTGTTAAAGTCTGGGGTAGAAAAAATCTTGGTAACAATAATAGGAATAAAAATAAATTCTTAGCAAGACTAAAAAGTATCCAAAATTCCCCACATTATATCCATAGCCCTTTTTTACAAGGCTTAGAAGAGGATCTAATCAAAGATTACAATAATATTCTTAAACTTGAAGAGGACTATTGGAGGATGAGATCTCGAATTAACTGGCTTAGTAAGGGTGACGCCAATACTAGGTTCTTTCAAATATCAGCATCAAATAGGAAGCGCCAGAACCATGTTAGTTTCTTCAAAAATAGTAATGGTGAGTGGATGGATAACCATCAAGATATACTAAACCATACCTTTGCCCATTTTACCTCTATATTCACCACTAGTCGCAAAGTTACAAATTGGTCTAGTATATTGCAAAGTCCTACTAGTTTTGATAAAACTGATCTTACATCCTGTATAGGCGTATCCAAATCAGACTCTGTTTTTTTAATTTTGAAGGGTAATGACCTTGACCCCAATTAATACAATAAGCAGGTTTTGATTTCCAACTGTTGAAATTGGATAATTTAGCCAACTTCAACTGTGTTCAAACATGTAAAAGAGAAAATGCCACCATCAGAGTTAAAAGGGGGTTCCACCAAAGTATAAGGATACAACAGCCTATGCTACTAAATATTGGACTACTGCTTTAGAAAATAATGAAAGTACTCAACTGAATAATCTTGAACACTTAGGATCTTATCTTATAAATGTGTGACAATTAGATTGAGACCTGGAAAATAACTCCACTTCATCACCAACTGTCCCCGATTAGTTCTAGTAATCCACTTTGAGAAGATGGCCGATCTTTATTTAGTCGTGTTCCAGGTGAACAGGGTAGAGAGATCCATACTCGATGACCCAAAATGCTTGGCGGCTCGTCCTCTACAAGTTTTGGAATAATGATATACAGTATCTGCAACTACGTCACCTTCGTATCCTTATGCACATTGACGCAATTTAGCAGCACTAACCAAATCAAGGGACTACCTGGCATTAAGCATGGTACTTGCCTATCTTTGAACAGCGTTTCAATCTCTGCTGATAGAATTGTAAAACTATTCCTTCGGCCAAGAATGATAGCTTTGCCAGACACGGGCTGTGCCAAAGCTGCAACAAAAGAGTTGGTCAGAACTAAAGTAATCATTTTCTTACAATAAAAGGCTGCTTTACAGATACCTGGACAGAAGAAGCTACCCTTTTTTACCATGAAGAAGTCTATATAAAAAGGTCGACCCCCTAAAGCATTCAAACAAAATTTTATCCACAAGATGATGAACCTGGAAAAACTTATAACACTTTGGAAACGAATATCCTCGATGATCTCAGAGAATAGTACAAAAAAACAATATGATGCATATCTACTTGGTTCTGAATAATATGAAATACCCTCAATTTGCAGCCTAACCTCAAAAAGATGCCACTTCTAGAAAAATATTACACAGATATCAGCACCCTATGACAGAGAACAGAACGGTTAATTTATCTAGCCTCCATTTGTGCCCATCAGCAATTAATAACAGCAGCTATGCATAAATTTTGCTGGTTAATAATGTCCTTCTCTTCATTCTTCTTGTCTTTTGCTTCATTTTGAGCCTCAATTTTATCTTTTATTAGCTCATCAACATTGCCAGTGTATTCACGAATAAACTGTAACACGTAAGGCCCAATACATTCTTGAGTGAAAATAAGCTACTCAGCCAAGTTTCCAATCTGGCGGCCAACTGGGGTTAGGCCAGCTATCACTGGGGATTTCTCGGTTATAAAAAAAAATGTTAATGTGCTTTTCATTCTTACAGTTCTTACCACTTAGTTCAACTATATAGTTTCAAATCCTGCAAAATTAGCCTTCCAAAACACCATGTTTGTCTCTGTTCATCTTTAGACAATTAGGATGGCCACAGAAATATCGTCAGTTGGCAAACTTGACACGTAAGAGTCAGTAAATATTACTTGATCCATTGAACTTATTTGCATATGTGAGGTATCTAAGCAACCATCAAAAGTACATTGTGCTTCTCATAATTACAGCTATAGCACCTATAGCATATTCAGATACATTTTGACTTTGTTTGAAGTTGCAAGGGGGAGGCACAAAAAGATACTTATCCCATTTGTGCAGTACAATGCCGGAATTCACATGTAACAAAAAAGAAAAACAAATGAGATAAACCAAAGTTCAAGATAAAACTGCTAGCACCACCAAACAAATCACTTTAAGAAAAGGAACCGTAGAAACTCATGTTCTGTAAACAGAGAGAATAGAGAGAAGATATAGTAAGCAGCCTTAGCACATAGGCGATTTAAAGTGCCATAACGTTCTCAATCATAATAGAACTACAGGGTGGTCATTGAAATGCTCACACTTCATATTATCTATGAAGTAGACTATCTAAAAACAAGAAATCAGCAGAACATGCTTGAAACATCATAGCAGTTTTGGTATTATCCATGAAGTCTAAGGACTAAAAGTTCTCGCAGGTAGAAACAAATAACATCATGTTTTAATATTATTAACTACTGCATGAGTTCGACAGGGAGAACTAATACATAGTATGGGCTTAATACTGGGCAAAACTTGTTTAGTTGAAAGGTCAACTTTCTTGCAGGGTACCAACTGTTTACATCTCTAAAGAAAGTAAGAAACCCGTAGCTTCTCCAGGATAGGAAGAGAGGCCATCGGTGGATCGTCTTCATAATAGATAATAATGAGCGGGAAACTGAACATGTTCCGAAGGAATTCAACAAATGATAGGTGTCATGTCCTTAGAGCATTCTCTGGGTCTGAAACTACATCTTGGGTATCTGGTTATAAAGTTTGATAATTTCATACTTCAGTCCTTTGTTTGCCACGAAAAAGAAAAAAAGAGGACAAGGATAAAAAGAAGATCTTTCGGATGAAAATAAAGAGATATATAAGTATTACCTGAAGGTTGGTGTCTTCACCAGTAATCCCGACACGAGCACAATCCGTCTTTTAAATGATGAAACCTCTTAGCATCTCGCATAATAATTTCCCGACCAACAAGCCTCGAAGCAATCTTCAATGCATTATGGCAATCACCACAGACACGCAGATTCTTTATTATTCGGATTGGTGATCGTGCAGAGCTACTCATAAGACCTTGAGCAAAAGCAAGTCTCTCGCTGTGAGCCATTAAAGCGTCCTCTTTAGTTTCTTGGTCTACGTCATGTAACACAAACTTAATCTCTGGTATATAACCGTCCTCCTTCATTAGCTGCTTTAAACCCCTAAGCAATTCATATATCTTCTCATGGTCGGGATGTGATCTATCTCCTGCTCGATATTCATGGACTCTGCTTCTAGCCTCAAGAAGACTTTGAGCAGATTTTTTCTTTTCTTTGTCCTTAGCAATATCTGATGCTTTTACAGCTAAAAAACCTGCCTTTGACTGTTCATCCAAACGAGATGGATCTAGGAGTTCAACAATCTCAGCACAACGATCCCCAAGCTCCAAGTTCCCATGAATTCTACAGAGATTCATCATGGTTTCCCATACTTCAATACTTGGCTCTATAGGCATTTTTTCAATGAACTCTATCGCTTCAATAAGATATCCTGTACTTCCCAACATATCTACCACTCCCACATAATGCTCCATGGAGTGAACAATACCATAATCTTTACTCATTGATTCAAAGTGCAACATGCCTTCAACTATATCACCTACAACACTACAAGCATGAAAGACACCCAGATACATTTGGCCATCAGGTTTCATCCCCGTTTTCTTGAATTCTGCAAATAATTCTATTGCGTCTTCTCCAAGACCATTCTTAGCAAGCCAAGTAATCATCGTGTCCCAAGAAGTCAGATTACGCTGAGGCATTTTTTGAAACACCGAAAAGGCATCATTCATGGAGCCACATTTGCCATACATTTCAAGAATCTTATTGTACGTTTTGACGTCAAGATGAGGATGAGATCTCACAAGGTGCTCATGAACTGATTTAGCCTCCTCAAGGGATTTATCCTCACCACAGACATCCATTAGTGTTATATATCGAGACAAATTGACTGTGACATGTTGCTGCTCCAACAAATGCAAAACTTCAACTGCCTCCTTCACTTTGCCTTCTTTACAAAAGTTATCGAGCTCGTCAATTGAGCCTTTTTTAATGCTGCTATCAGCAGAATCGATTGACTGTTCAACAGGTGTTGAACTTCTCATTTCTTGATTACCTACTATTCCATTCTGAGATTGATAAGAAGCTTGATGTCCAGTACTAGAAGGGTTAAAGCCGCTTACATTCTGCTGATATTGCCCCATCATCTCCCTTGAGTAACCACTTGAATTCGTATGCCTTTCCATATCATACGCACTTGCACTTTGTGGATACGTTTCAGAATTTCCTGCTTGAACATTCCTTACATTTCCAGGGATATAGCTGGGCTGAGGCACTCCTATGTTTCTCGTGTAATTGGCACTGAAATTCTGCTGTGACGCTTCACTGTTCCCACCGTAATAACGGTTTAAATTCTGTTGATAGTGTCCATAAACTCCATTTTGACTCGGCTGAGCTTCTACACGTCCCTCAAACCTGGAACTATGCATCACATTCGACGAATTTTCACCTTTGTAATCAGCATCATTTCTATTATGCTGGACTAAATTATTATTTTGATATTCCTTTCGTGACCCGAAATCATTACTGCTTGAGGATAAACTCCCATTTGGCCGAACAGTTTGCTGAAAATCATTTCTTAACGCAAAGTTCTCATTTTGACCATGTGTATCCCGCGGAAACCCTATGGTATCCTTAGAAAAATAACCTCTAGCACCATTAGCTGATTCTTGAAATTCAGCTCTAGGGTTTTGCCTAGGGTTCAAAGAATTCGTATTATTTGAGTTATAATTGAAAACCCCATCTGGGTTTTGCTCTCTATAGTTATCAAATTCAGATATTTGAGTAGCAGTGCTGAGATTTCTTGAAAAAGTAACGAACTTAAATGATTCTAAATGGTGATTTTGTCTGCATACCTTTGTTAGAGTTCTCAGAGATTTGGCTGTGAATGTGGTGGCTCTGCTTCTATACATTTTTGTGTCCACGTGGCGATAATTTGGCGAGCTGAGGAGGAGATGCGGCAGAACAATGGTGTTTTACTACTGCTTAAACCCTCTCAAAGTCGCGGCTTAGATATGAAGGCAAAGAAGAAGAAAGTTTGGAGAATGTGTGCTTTGACCTTTAAGTTTTGAAAAGATAATGAAAGACCCTTTAACTTGTTAATCTTAACTTATTAATTCATTAGATATTGATGGGAAAAGGTTATTTTGTGTAAAAAGAGCGGTCAAAAGGGTGGTAAATTGTTAAACAATTTTAAAATGTTTATTCTCACAAAAAATGCACTTTTTTTATGCTTAGGAACTATATTATGATGTTATCGTATTTGCACTAAGTATATAACTAAGAAAAAAAACATTTAAAGATCTTTAGCTTCCAAATTCTCTTAGAAAAAAATTATGTGTTTCCTAATTCTCTTAGAAAAAAAATTATGTGTTCCATATATTTTAATAATGGAAAAGGGTTCAATATGCCCCTAAATTATTGGAAAAGGTTTTAAAATACCCTTCATCCACCTATTGGGCTAAAAATACCCTCCATCCACCTTTTTGATTCACTTATGCCCTATGCTGAATTAAAAATAATGCACCAGTCTTTTTTTAAATGGAAAAGGGCCAAATATATCCCTCTACTTTCAAATATTGTTTATTCGTATCCTTCGTTATACTATTGGGCTATCCATACCCCTACCGTCATACTTTGTAGCATTATTGCCCTTAATTTGAACGGAGTGCCACGTGGCAGCTCCTGAATAAAACTTCCAATTTAATTTTTATACCCGATCCGCTACCCACTTAAACCCCTAACCCGACCCACCTTAAAACCCAACCCACCTTAAAATCTACGAAAAACAGATCCCCACAAAATACACCGCAAAACATAACCTCTCCCCTCGTTAAAATTAAAACAGATCCTCAAATCCCAAAACTAGGGTTCCTCAATGTCATCTTCTTCATAGTTCTGCTGTACAACCAAGGTACAAATTTTCTTTGATTAAATCTTTGTTTAAGTTTATTTAGAAGGTAAATATGTTTCTAAAATTATTTAAGGTTTCTTTTTAGGGTTTACAACTAAGGCATCTATGAATTTCTGAAACTTTTTTTTAGTCTAGGGTTTTAGGTGTTGGTTCAAATCGACAATATATATGTATATGTATATATTTAGGGTGTTATTGTTTAGGTTTAGTGCTAAATTTTGTTTGCATGTGTACTTCTAAGTGGTGGTCCTTTTGGATTTTTTTAGGTTTCGGATAATTTTGGGGTTCAGAAATTTGGGGATGTTAAATTTCAGAGATGTATGGTTTAGTTTATTAGGGCATCGTGTATTTTATTCTTCATCTGTCGTTTTGTGTTTTTCATCTATAACAGTGCTGTCCCTTTTCCGTTTTTAATTATTTAACAGTGTTTTTAATTATTTTATTCCTCACAAAAGATTCTGATTTTCTGTTTTTTATGTAGGACAATGTGGTCCTTTTCATGTTTTAAATTCTGTTGTCCCTTTTAAGTAGGACAGAGTAGTTGTATTTTTTATTCTTTACTACAACTTGGAAATTATTTTGATAAGTGGTCCCCTCAAATGTTTGCAGGATATAAAATGGTTAAAGTTGACTTACTCTTCAATCATGATGGTAATTGGATAAGAGAACCACATCTACTCTCTAAGAAATTGGTTCACACTTGGCCGGGGTATGATTCTGATCTTTTATCTTTTATTGACATAGTGAATGAGTACACTACAGAGTTAGGATTTGTAGGTATTCAGCAGCTTATTGTAGTTGCTCCTTCTGGAAAATACTATAAAATAGAGGGGGATGATGGGATTAGGAAGTTATTGCCTCTTGTTTCTGAAGAGTATCGTATCATTAACATATATGCAGTAGATGAATGAGCCTTCTGTAGAAGTTTCCAATATTGTCCAACATACTGAATCATTTTTTTCTGTAGGAGCAGGTTATTGGATCCAACGCTAAGATAAATGAGAGTGACTGTGAAGCTGGTTCTGATTGTCCAGAATATGACTCTGAAGAGTTGGACAAAATTGCTACTCAAAAGAAAAGAAAGATTACTATGGGTCTAGAAGATTACAAAGAATTATTTAAGGGTATGTCCTTCAAGGACATACCAGAAGCAAGAAAATGCATTAAACTCTATTCTTTGGCCAATAAGGTAGAGTTAGTGGTTGTTAAAAGTGATAAGCTTAGGTTGAGATATGAATGTATTCCAGGGTGTCCATTTGTATGTCCTATTTCTGAGGAAAAAGGTTCTCCTGGAGTGAAAATCAAAACTCTAAATCCTGAACATGAGTGTGGTCCATCATATGACAACTCTAGGGTTGATTACACTCCTATAACTCATTATTTCAAGAACAAATTACAAGATAATTCAAAGTTTAAGGTAAAGGAAATGAGGACTGATTAAAAGAAAAGACTTTTGTAGTTAAATAGCCAGTAAAGGAAAGTAGCAAGAGAGCTAAAGGAATGGTTTTGAAAAGTTTTAGAGGGGAGCTTTACAGATGGTTACAAGAAATTAGAGGCTTATGCCAATGAACTTAGAGATTCAAATCCGGGAAGTGATGTTGTAATCAATCTGTCTAAAGAGGCACTTGCCGAAGGTAAAAGAAAATTTCTTAGAATGTATATTTGCTTCAAGGCAATGAAGATGGGATTTAAGGAAGGTTTGAGACCCTTCATTGGATTAGATGGTACATTTCTTAAGGGAAAAGCCAAGGGACAATTACTGGTAGCTGTTGGTCAAGATAATATGAACCACTTTTATCCTTTAGCTTGGGCAATTGTAGATAAAGAGACAAAAAGAACTTGGAATTGGTTTTTGGGGCTATTGCAACATTCATTGGAACTCCAGATGGGTGAACGCATAACATTCATGTCGGATATGCAAAAGGTACTTTATTTCTGTTTTTGTTTCTGTTTAAGTGTTGTTTCTGCTGTAAAAATTCTGTATCTGCTGTAATAAGTTTCATATGAAAAAATTGTGTTTCTGCTGTTTCAGTTTAAGTGTTGTTTCTGATGTAAAAATTATGTTTAACTGTTGTTTCTGCTGTAAAAGTGTTGTTTCTGCTGTAATAAGTTTCATATGAAAAAATTCTGTTTCTGCTGTTTCAGTTTAAGTGTTGTTTCTGATGTAGAAATTATGTTTAACTGCTGTTTCTGCTGTAAAAGTGTTGTTTCTGATGTAAAAATTATGTTTAAGTGTTGTTTCTGGTGTTATTTTGAAATAAGATTTTGTTTCTGCTGTAAACATTAATTGTTTGCATTTCATATCTAGGGGTTAATTGATGCAATCAACACTGTACTCCCTGAAGCACACCATAGATTTTGTGTCAGACACATAGAGTCAAACTGGTGCAAAAGATGGAGTAAAGGTGGTGGGGAGCTGAAAAAGCTACTATGGTAGAGTGCATGGAGTAGTTATGAGGAGGAATTCCAGGATCAACTGAAGCATATGGGACAGCTTGATGAACCTGCTGCAAAGGATTTGTTGAGATATCCTCCACAGTGTTGGTGCAGAGCCTTCTTTGATACAAGGAGCAAAAATCAAATAGTTGATAATAATCTAACTGAATCATTTAATGCCAGGATACTTGAAGAAAGGTACAAGCCTATCATTGGGATGCTCGAGGGTATAAGGATCAAAGTGATGAATCAATTGAGAGAACATAAAGATTTTGTGACTAAATGGAGTAGTGAATTCAGTCCTAAAGCAATGAAGCTATACAATGAATATATGAAGATAGCCCAAGTTTGTAGAGTTGACTCCAATGGGGATAATGGATTTGAGGTATCAGAAGGGTCTGACAAGCATATTGTGAATCTGAGAATAAAAAGGTGCACTTGTAGGGCATGGTACCTCACTATAATTCCATGCCCACATGAAAGTTGAACGTCGAAAAAGGATTGGAAAGTTGAAGCCAAAGAGGGAGATTTTCAGTAGTTTATTACTGTTTAAGACTGTTTTATTTTGTAACTACTGCTTATGACAATACTCTTTTGGTTAATTTGCACTAGTTTGTGTTTTGGTTGGTTAATTTGGTGATGTAATTACTGCATATGACAGTACTCTTTTGGTTAATTACTGATTAGGTTTTGGACTAGCAGCTTTTGGACTGCTTATGTTAATAGCTTTGGTTAATTTTGGTCTAGCAGTACTATTCTTGATGTCTTACTAATTACTCTGTGTTGATGTATGTTGGATTTGGACTTCACAGTTATAAACTGCAGGTTATAAAATCTGCTTTTTAACACAAAAAATAACAGATTTTCAGCTTGATAAAATGCAGATTTTAGGCCAAAACACAACAACACTTAATGCAGGATTTTAAACAGCCTAAACTGAAAAAAATGCAGCTATAAACAGAAAACACAACAGCTATCCTCTTGCTAATGTGTTAAAATGCAGCTATTCAATAGTGCCAAAGTGCAGAATTTTATCCCAAAAAACAACAGCTATCCTCTTGCTAAAATGCAGGATTTTAAACAGCCTAAACTGAAAAAAAAAAGAATCGAGCAGTTCTGAACAGCCTCAAAACACACGGTTAAAATAGCCTCAAACAGAGCCTTCAAACATATATTAAACTTGTGCAAAACACAAATTAAAACAGCCTCAAAATTAAAGATATGGGAGTCAAAACAGCTTCAAAACACTGATTTCATACAACCTAACTTGAGAACTCAAAACACAGCCTTCAAACTAATATTACAAAGACTTGAGAATTCATACAACCTAACAAACTACATCACTTCAACAATAATGCGGCAATAAATCCAACAAACATCGCACAAAAAATCATAATAAACATCTTCAACTTCATAAATTTCTCTTCTAATTCCCTTGCTTTGTTCACTTAGGAATTGTTTATAGCCTCCATAGTCTTCACCTTTTCCTTTAACTTATCTATTTCAATCTTAACCGCATCCAACGACGTACTCAAAGTATTGATTTTGACTGAAGTTGCATCCAATTGAGCCTTTAGATTACTTATCACCACCAATGCTCTATCCGGGAATACTTCGTCACGCCACTCCCAATATCCACAAGAATTGGCCTGCCCAAAAAAAAAAAATTAAAATTTCGAATTATCAACTATTAAATCCATGAGGGAAAC